CGTTTGGTTGAATTTAATTTAATTCTTAGGGTTATTTGGGCTCTACGGCCGGACTAGGGATTTGGGAGAGCTAGATCTTTCTCTCCAATTGAAGATCGAAATATATCTTCTATTTCTTCATATACTTGCAATAAAAATATTTGTCGGCCACACCGCTTCGTGCCGCTGCCCCGCTGCCCCTAACCCTCAAACGGGTCAGGTCGGATTGACCCGAACCCGAAGCGGGTTGGGTTTGGGTCCGGAAAATCAACCTGTTTGCAAAATTGGGTCGGGTTGACCTGAACCCGAATAGTGCCGGGTCAATTTCGGGTTCGGCCCGAACCCGACCCGTGACCCGAAATTGACAACCCTAAGAATAAATATAAGATCCCTAGCAACAATAAACACTAATTTATTCGTAGCCAACCTCCCAATGTTATTGCGTAATCCCACAATGAGAGGCTAGAACTAATAGAAAATTTTATAGGAATTTTTTTGACAGAAATCATAATGACTTATATATCAACTTAAGTTTACGTAAATTGAGTTTTTTTTTTTGCACAAGATAGACTCTTCTTACTGTTTTGTTATTATATTTGCTTATCACAATAATTCTTTCTTTGAATTTTGATTTTTCTCTTTCGAGATGATTTTCATCAGAATTAAGTATAATCGTGCTTGCACTGAACTAAAAGAACTCACACATCCAACAAAACACTGAAGATCAAAATTGAAATTTGAATTTTTATATACTATAAGCTTTCCAAATTAGATGTCTCTGATAGTTATTTATAATCATGTAATATCCTTAATTGATTGCCCTTTAGTTGGTTTAGTTCAAATCCTAAACCACAGATCTTGAGCCTATTGCATAAGGGTACATTTTGAAATAATGGAATGAAAGATGCCTATAAGTTCGTTTGGATGTGCCCCATATAGAATATAAGGCCTTATACTCATGGGATAAGCACGCTATGGAACCGCACTACATGACCTAAGGCCATATATTGCAAAAATTTTGTTACGGAAACCTGCATATGAGTCACAAAGGCAATATAATTCTTCCTTAACAAGAAGTATAAGATCTCTAGGACTTAACAGAAAATGTTATAGGAATTTTTTCGAGAGAAACCATAATGACTTATATAAATCAACTTATGCTTCCGTCAATTGAGATTTTTTGCACCAGATAGACTCTATTTACTGTTTTGGTATTATATTTGCTGATCACAATAATTATTTATTTGAATTTTGATTTTCTCTTTTGGGTTGACAATCTCCTTATTAGTTCTCTCGTCCTGTTGTTTAGTACTGAAATTTATAACCAACAGAAAAATATCCATAACCGACAACAATCTATAGGAGCAAGGGTAGCAACAAAAGAAAGCTCCAAAACAACAAAAGTATTAATGATAGATGGTTTTCAAATTTCAAACTTCTGCTATAGGAATATAGAGGAACTATAACTTTTGTTATAGTTTTAAGGGTCGAAGATCTGTAGTTTTGACGATTTGAGGGAGTTTGGCTGGAGAAGAATATAATGGAAAAAGGAAGGATTTGGGAAGGATCCTGATTGAATTCACTGCATGAAATCAAACCTATTGATACACAATTAACTTTATAAATAAACTCCACAAATGACAAACTTGATCACTTCAGATTTATAAGATGATTTCAACATAATTTAACCTAACTTAGAATTGAAAAAACAAATTTATCCAGAATCATCATTTTCCCATTGTAATTTGGATTTCAATCGAATGGTCTAGACTTCTTGCCTTCTAATCCTGATCAGCAAGCCTCTAATTGATTATCCGTCTTTAATGTTGTGCTTCTGTCTGTGTCCTCTTTAATCATAGTGACATGATAAGAGAATTACAACTATTGTTAATTTCCATCAATAAATTTGATGGTTCAGTATATTAATTGACTTAATCTACTGATCCGTCGCAATTTGATGCCAAAATTATGAGGAATGTTTCTTCTCATGTGGTTCTATGTTGGGGACGGTCATACCGATTATATCTTCATGATTTAATCTCCATAACACCAACCATATTTTGATAGAAAATTCACTGAATCAACAAGAATCGCATAATAATAGAGCAAATTATTTGAACCAATCCAATCAGGAATTACCCAGATCATGAATATAGTAAATAAAGAGAACACATTTTGTTATCCTAAGTGTCCTTACAAATATCTCTGCAAACAAATGAAAATACAAAATAAAATAAACTTTCTGAAATCAAAATTTTTTAGCTTCATTTCCACCAACCATAAACGTGCAGATTTCTACTGAAGGGTATGATTGTGTGCATTGTTCTCTCCTCAAACCCCCATGGTGGTGGGAGCCTCATGCGCTTTTTTAAAAATTCACTTGGATTTTGATATTTTATTTTTCTAATTTTATTAGAATTCACATATTTACTTTGCTGCCATGCATAGAACTGATAGAAGTTGGAAAAATGTCACCTCAGAATAGTAACTTTTGTCAGATAATTATATATGGATAATTTTGCAAGGAGGATCTTTCTCATTTAACATGAGAACTCAATTATAAAACTTAGCTTATGTTTGTAGTTGTAGTTAGACATATGTTTATGCCAGTACCTTTGATTGATCTGGAACTAAAATCTATATATATTAATTTCCTCCATGATTTCTACTTTCTGTCATGTTATTTTGTTTTTACTGTTGATACCCACTGTTGATTATGTATGCAGCAAGCCAATGAGGAGTCAAAAGCTGTTACCAAGGCCTCAGCTATGAAAAGTAAGTTTATTTCTTTCTTCCGTCACCAGATCTACGTAATTTATTGCCTTTATTTTCTGAATGGGAGATCAAAGTTGGAAATTCTGTTCATGGGTTGTACGTGCTTCTTTGATTCTGTTTATTATTGCCGAAGCTATAAACATGTGCAAGCATATTTTGGTTGCAGCAATCAAGCATCGCATGGAAAAGGACATTGATGAAGTGCTTAAAATAGCTCGTATAACTAAGTCAAAACTCGAAGAACTTGACAGAGATGTATGCTATTTCTTGTTTCCTTTTTTTTTTCTGGTTTTTGCAGTGCAAAATTAGCAAGAGACGTTAGATCTTCTCCCAGAACAAAATCATCTGTTTTGGGTTTTCTGCTTGACTTAGTAATTTACACTGTACAGCTCTGACTTGCTTTACCCATACTTCCTCACAGAATTTAGCAAATAGGCAGAAACCTGGATGCGGAAAGGGGACGGCTGTGGACCGATCTAGAACTGCAACTACTGTGTACTGTTCTTGTTTATTTCAGTCGTTTTGCATTTCATTCGAGAACCTATTTGCTTATCGCATATTTTATTTACTTGTGATAATGATTGCAGGTCATTGAAAAAGAAGCTGAAGGATATTATGACCGATTTTCAGGTGATATTTTCTTGCCTATCTATTTATAGGCAGTACTTCATTTATTAATTTTTATTACAATGAATGAATCTAATGTTTTTTTTAATTATTATTTGAAAAGAAGTTAACAATGATCAAAGTCTGTTTGTGAAATCATAAAACATTGGAAAAAATGTAGATAATTTCATTATCAATAGTGTTCTTGTATTCCCTTTGCAACCATATTATTAATTAGCTGTTGTGGATGTTAGGTGGTACATAATACTGGACAGACCCATGCACTTATTCATAAAGTAGGGTCTGAGTCTGTTAAACTCATTTTATGGGATCAATTAGCCGTTGAGGTGCTACTGGAAAGCACTCATCTATAAAACCATGTTCTCATTTGATTTGATTTTTGGCGGTGGTTATGTGACTAGTTGCCATTAAGAGTGCTCTTCATACGACATGCATGAAGTTTTTCATTCTCTTGATTAATTAAAATTAGGATCAAGTAAATAAAGCCAATGCATCAAGAAGGTAAAAGTTAGAAACAGTTAATCTATATACGGATTTATACATAGATTATTGATGTTCTATGAGAAGAAGAATATATGTTTAATTAAATAAGGAACGAGTTAAAAATATTACACCTACACCTTAGAAGCGTCAATAAATAACCTAACTAAAAAAATCCGAATTAGGGTTGACCCATTTAATAAAAGAGTCGGCTTCGGCCCCAACATTCTGACTCATTTTATTGGTCGGTTGGTTTGGATTTACCTGTGAACCTGATAATGACCAATTTAATAGTTTTTTTTTTCTTAAATTATTTTGGATGTTAGAATGTTTTTTTATTTTGATAAATTAATCTAAATTCTATAGTTGACAAGTTACTATTTTTTTTTATATCAAGATGGGTTATAGTGTCGAGTTCAAGTCATCCGGGTTAGATTTTGGTCGATTGGTTTCAACTTGAGTCAATTTCATCTGTCATCACGCTCTAACCTTACTACATAATTTTTTAGAATTTTAAGTGTAAATTTCTTTTTTAACCATTTTATTGTGGGAGAATCCATTGGAAGCTGCCAGTTATTAAACCTATAGATTTTTTTTTTTTTTGGTGAAATGCTTATTCAGTTTGTTTGTTTATTACGATAGTTTCCCTTTCCATGAAAATATTACTGCAGATGATTCCCGCATGTTAACCGAGTCGATCAATTAATTACAAGATGCATATGTTATCCTTCAATGTAATGAAAATCTAGTAGGTGATACCAATCTGGGACTGAATTACCTACCATCTGCTAAGGTTTCAATTTATAAAAATTTATTACACAGGTGTATGAGAAAGTAATATATTATACCTGAAATATTTAATCATACATATTTTACATCAGTGATTTGAACTTTATTGCTTGCTTTTTGCAGTCTCTCAGGGAAACCATAAATCAAGAATATAGGGAGGTTGTTGAGAGAAGAGTCTTCACAGGTTTTGCCCTTTCTTCTACTATTATGCTTGCCATGTGAATAAACATGTTTACATATTAATCTACTAATTGTTTTTTTTTTAATGTTCTTTGTTTCCTTTCAAATAGTAACGGGTAATCGGCCTGATGAAGAGGTAGGGATTTGTCCATTTTGAATGCATAAATGACCTGCTAGTTAGATTCGTATGATCTACCCATATTACCCTAATTGTTGCCTCTGCAGACTATTGACCGGCTGATAGAGACAGGAAATAGCGAGCAAATCTTCCAGAAGGCAATCCAGGAGCAAGGACGTGGTCAGGTTTGTCCTATATTAACTGGCTTGATTTCATATTTTCCCAAAAATGCTAACCACCATAACATAACTATCGGTCCACTTACTATTTGCAGGTAGTGGACACCCTTGCAGAAATCCAAGAGCGTCACGATGCCATCAAAGATTTGGAAAGAAAGCTTCTTGAGCTGCAGCAGGTATTTGGTTTAAGATATTGAACAAAGAACTTGAAAAGTTACATAACAGTTCAGGGTCTTATGCTGCATTTATACGAATAATCATATATCATTTCACCAAATGATCAAATTGGATCAACCAATTCATTTAGCAATGAGTTGCTATGTTTCTTTGTTGATGTTCATGCCCTTGAAATTAATCAGACTGACTCAATTCTTACAACAACAACAATAATATTAAGCCTTTGTCCCACTATGTGGGGTTGGCTACATGAATCCTTTTTTGTCATTATGCCTTGTTAAAAGTCAAGTTCTCATTTAAATCTAAAAAAGAAAGATCATTTCTAATATTTTATAACCAAGTCTTTTTAGATCTACCTTTGCCTTTCTTAACATAAGTCAAATCTAATACCTCAACTTTCTTAACCGGGTCATCGGAAGGACTCCGTTTAATGTGACCAAACCATATAAGGCTACTCTCTCTAATCTTATCTTCCACTGGAGCTACTCCAACCTTTTCACGTATATGCTCATTTCGTATCCTATCTCTAAGGGTAAAGCCACTCATCCACCTAAGCTTCTCTTTTAATGGCCAACATTCGGCACCATAAAGCATTGCATGTCTCACCACCATCTTATAGAATTTTCCCTTTAAGTTTGAGAGAGACTTGTTTCTATCGCACAACAAGCCCGATGCATTCCTCCACTAAATAAGATAAATTCCTCCTGCTTTCATGTAGGTATTTTTCGATATGGCGGTATTGGTCGAGGCACAAGGCGACCTGCTGGATAACATCGAATCGCAGGTATGGAAAGCATTTGGCAACAAATGCTTGATTTTGCACTCTTCATTACTGCCTATATATTTAATAAAATGTTACATTTCTACACACAGGTATCGAGTGCTGTTGACCACGTTCAATCTGGAACAACAGCTCTACAGACAGCAAAGAAGATGCAAAAGAATTCACGCAAGTGGATGTGCATAGCCATTATTATCCTTCTAATCATTGTGATTGTTATTGTTGTCGGTGTGGTTAAGCCATGGAACAAGAGTTAAAGCTAGTATTGGTACTTTTGCCTGCGAAACTCGAGCTGTTTTTTGTGTGATTATACCTAATCTTATTTCCGATGACTACTTCTGGATTTGTTGATATTTTATGCGTATATGCATATTTTGGAGAGCAGCATTCTTTGTAACGAATTGGATACTGTTAGTGAAAATAAAATCGTTAGTTTTATAATTGTAGATTGACTGCAAGCACTCAATAGTGTGATTTTCTGTTTCTGTTGCACAGTAAATTTAGCATATTTAGTCAAACATGCTCATGAAAAAAATCACTTTATTTTCCATAGAAAAATGTGATTAAAAGAGTGAAAAAGGTATATCCTGATAGTTATAGTCCTATTTGTACAAATGCTTTTAATAAATGATTGGATTCAAGGAAGGTGAAATTTTTGCAGGTGCCTTAAACGCTGTAGTTTATCCTTGGAATTTTGTGTTTGTGGAAACAAATGCTCTAGTTTGTTATGGACCCAATCGTTTCGTTTAATTAATTTGGGCAATACCACTTGATTTAAAGCTTCATGTTATTTGATCGATTCAATCTCAGCCGTCTAAAATGAATTTAATGATTAGTTATAATTATTTTTTTGGTGATTGACACAGTAATAGTGCTTATATTTAAATAATTAAGGATATATTGTGTGATAGAAAAGGCTCACTCAAACTTGAGGGAAAATTCTATAAGATGATGGTAAGAGCTGCAATGATTTACGGTGCAGAATGTTGGCCATTAAAAGAGAAGCATAATACTAAGTGTTTCAGAGATGAGGATGTTGTTGTGGATGAGTGGACTTACCCTTAAATGAGCATATATGTAAAAAGGTTGGAGTAGCTCCAGTGGAAGATAAGATTAGAAACAGCTGCCTTGGATGGGTTGGTCACATAAAATGATGGCCTTTTGATGATCTGGTTAGAAAAGTAGAGGTATAAATTCGACTTATATTAAGAAAAGTAGAGGTAGACTTAAAAAAACTTGGTTAGAAAATATTAGAAATTATTTTTCTTTATTAGATCTAAATGAAAATTTGATTTTTAACTGAACACATTGGAGAAAAAAGATTCATATAGCCGACCCTACATAATGGGATAAAGGCTTGGTGCCTTGGTGGTGGTAGTAATTGATACACTAATAAATAGTACAATCTAAGTGTAAATATAAATGCACTGCATTTACCACCCATTCAGCAATACAAAGTCTTCGGTATGCAATTCTGCCTAGTTAAAAGAAATAAACAGTATTGCTCATTTTATCCATGTCAATGTAAGGTGTTCAAAAAATCAAATTCAAACAGTTCCAAATGTTTTAGCTGAAACTATGGGCAATTGCTACGAACATGATAGATGATAGAGCCATTAAGAGTTTCTGCTGATAACCTGTTCATTCGCAGAAGAATTAACAAATAGGTCCTTCCCTTCCTTCCTGAAATGGTGAAAAGCATATGCTCGCATCAACAAAGCAAGATGATGAACAACAAAGTATGATTATTAAATTAAAGACTCAAATTAATTTTGCAGGGTTTTATAGAAATAAGGAAATGCTCACGAGGCTTAGATCATTAGCTTAAACTATAAAAAGTGCAACAGAAGAAGGCAATCCTTAGGGAAAAAGAGGAAAAGAAGAGCCATAACCGGCCACTAGAGTTCGGAGAAGCTCAATTCATTAATGCATCGTAAATATCAAAACCCAGAGTCATAATCTCCTAACATAAAAAGCGAAAATTACAACAAAATAAAAACTTATAAAATATCTAAAATGCTGAAAATAAATTCACTTATTTTATTATGACTAAAGCTTCAGTCTCGAAACAAATTCACGTGCCAAAGAGGAACAGAAA